TACATTGAAAGTTTTTTATTAAATAAACTTTTAAAAGGCACCTCCCTCGTTGTTACTTTTAACAAAATACCCACAGTATTTTGAAAGACAGTCACCTTCTGTTGTACAAAGTTTTTTTTAAAACTTATTTTCTATGTAGGAAATGTGTCCTATTTTTATTCAAAATATTTTGGGAGAGAAGTACTACAGATTTTTGTTGTTTCAACTCATTTCATTAAATTACCTTACCGTGAACAGCATTGTATATACTTTGAGATGAGTGAAAAAGTGATGAGATGCAGATAGGTGTACAAGAGTGAAAGAATGTAGAAATGTCCTAGAAGAAATTATTTTCTTCTTGAAGGTACTTGAGTAGTTGCTAGAGTTAATAGAAAAATATTTTATTTTTTTGCAGATATTTTAATCAAAACAGAGGATGAAGTTCTCACTTCAGAATTTTATTTTTGCTGTGGTAATGCATGGCATTTACCAAGGATCGGCTTTGCCAGTACTTTGAAAAGTATTGAAGGGATTAGCTTACTGTGTATGACTGTTTTGAAGATAAAAGTTATTTTATCTGGAGTGCTTTATATCAATCTATTTTATCAGGATGCATGTCCCACAGATACGTTCATATGGAGAAAGTAACATATAATGTGGTGGTGGTTTTGGTTTGGAAGCACTGCACTGGTTTTGAGGTGGGTTTAGACCTTCTAATTTTGTTGGTTTCAGTTCTGATGAAATTAATCAATGTGGCAGGTTTTTAAGATACATTCAGGCATTGATCAAATCCAATCAATGTTTAGCAACATGAGAGGTTGTTGATAATCTGAACATACTGAAATTGAGCATTGAAAACCATTTAAAACAACTTGGATATGTTAGGAAGCTCAATATTTGGGTACCACAAAAACTCAAAGAAATAATGCTAGACGACATACAAGTTTGGACACTCATCAAAAATGGTTGCAGCTTGGATGGAATGATGTGTTACCACATCTACCATGTTCACCAGACCTGGCACCATCAGACTACCTTTTGTTTTGTTCTTTACAAAATGCCTTAAATGGTAAAACCGTCACTGCTGATGAGGATATCAAATTATTCTTGGAACTGTTTTTTGCTGAAAAAGATAAGAACTCTTTTGAGCTCAGAATTGTGAAGTTGCCTGAAAGATGGTAATTTTTTAAAAAGGACAAAATTGTTTAACAAAGTTTCTGTTTCCCATGAAAAATTTCTTTCATTTACCCAGAAAAAATTCCAGTTACTTTTTGGCCAACTCAGTATTTATTGCCCTTCATGAGACTGTTCTGTCTGTGACTACATGATTCTCTCACGTCTAACCCTTGTAGGCTCCCTCCCCAATGCTTTCAACTGTCAATGTGCTTCCTTTTCACAAAATTGTTTAACAAAGTTTCTGTTTCCCATGAAAAATTTCTTTCATTTACCCAGAAAAAATTCCAGTTACTTTTTGGCCAACTCAGTATTTATTGCCCTTCATGAGACTGTTCTGTCTGTGACTACATGATTCTCTCACGTCTAACCCTTGTAGGCTCCCTCCCCAATGCTTTCAACTGTCAATGTGCTTCCTTTTCTCTT